GCATCACTATGCTATGAAGTTCTGTAGGTTAAATTGTATTAAATACATTTTTTTTTTTGGTACCGGGGATGGAACTTGGGACCTTGCGCTTGTGAAACAGGCGGTAGCACCACTAAGCTAAATCCCTGGCCCCTTTAAATACATTTTCAAGTTACAATATTTTCAACTTACAGTGGGTTTAATTGAATGTAACCCATTCATAAGTAGAGGAACAGCTGTTTAGCTAATATACATGGTGACAATGGTATAAAAATCAGGATAAACAACGGAAGTTCTGAAATATTTACATTCTCTGTGAAAATGGTAAAAATATCAATTAATATTAGATTTTCATTTGTCAAGAATGCATGTTGTAACTAGGCATGGGTGGCAGATACTTGTAATCCCAGCACTCAGGTGGTTGAGGCAGGAGGATCACAAGTTCAAGGCCAGCCTGGGCTACATAGTGAAACTGTCTTAAAAAAACAACATGTATGTTATAGTGTCTAAAAAATGCAATAACAAAAACTCAGGCCAAAAGTAACAAGAAAAAGGGAACATAGGACAGATGAAAATGCTAGAGAAAACTTGGTAAGATGATAGATTTAAACATAAACATGTAAGTAAAACATTCAATGTAAACCATTCAAATTAAAGACAAAGATGATAAGACTGTGCTTTCTAAAAATCCATCACTATATTTTTATAAGATACACATCTGGGGCTGGGGATTTAGCTCAGTGGTTCTGCCACCTGCCTCCCAAGCGCAAGGTCCCGAGTTTGATCCCTGGTACCAAAAAAAAAAAAAGAATAAGATACACATCTGAAGCATAATATGATTTAGAAAAGTTGAAAGTAAAATGATGGTAATTTAACACAAAAAACAAAGCAAAGAAAGGAGACAGAGCTACAGCAGTAACAGACAAAGGCAACTTTATAACAAAAATCATTGCTAGAGGTCAGGAGGGCTATTATAAAGCGTTTTTTCATGGAAGTTTCAATTCACCAGAAAGGTGTCAATTCTATATTTGTACACATCTCACTGCCCACTCAAAATATTTAATGCAAAAATTGACAAAACTATAGGGAAGAGAGAAACCCACAATTATCTGTCTCAGTATTCAATAAGATGAGCTGGCCAAATATTTATGAAACAGGAAAGAGACAGACATTCTGAGCCACACAATTAGCACTGTTGATCTAATGGACACATGTAGAACAGCGAACCCACAACCGCATGTCACATTCTTTTCAGGCTCTCCCAAACATTTATAAATATTGGCCATATGATTGTTCTTAACAAACGCAAAAAATAGAAATCATCAAAATGTGTTTACAGCAGGCAATACAGTTAAGCTCAAAACAAACAAAAAGATAACTAGAGGCTGAGGGTGTCAGCAGTGATGCCCAGCACCACACACACACACACACACACACACACACACAACTAGAAAGCCTCCATGTTTGGAAATGATAAATAGACTTCAGAGGAGATGGGCGGGGACTAGGGCCCCAGAGGATGGCCTTAGCTACCAGGAGACTCCAGTCTTGTTAATCCCTCTCTCAGTACCAACACCCTCCACTGCAATTATGAATTAAACAAGCCAAAAGAGTTACCCTGGGAACAGTTCAAACATGAGTCCAAAGGGTGGGCTCCAGGCCTTGCTGGCTTTGTTGTCAACTCTGAGGCCTAATCAAGGTTGGATCTGCAGTTGTCCAATTTCTTATAAGCACATTCTGTCCAAACTGTAGCTCCTTCCCTGAGGGCAGTGACTGAGGCTCAACTCCTCCACATGCTAAACACTGCCCAGGCCCGGGTCTAACATTCCAGCCCATGAGCACCAGAGCCTGGCAGGATTTTGTGGAACTATATTCTGACAAAGCCACACAAGGCAAGAAGCAGCAAGCCCATCTCTGATAGAAGCCAGGGGCTAGCAGGCATAGTCATACTTGGGCCACAGTTCTCTTTTGAATGGATTTTGAATTAACTGGAAATGAAAGCCCCAAGTTCAAGTCCAGAGATAGACAGGTAAGAGAGGGACCTATCAGAATCAAAGGAGAAAGAAACATCTTCAACCTAAAAGATGCTGGCCACTCCAAGCCACAGAATGCTGGGTTTTAATCTTTCAGCACAGGAAGCACACTGCCTTCATCTTTTCTTGAGATGAAATTTTATCAGGGACACAGAGGAAACTGGACTCATGGAGGGTCCTAGAATGCCACCTTCTTGGACATCCCACTCCAACTACCACCGTGAAGCCTGGCCATAGACATAATTGGCCTAGACTTTTTCTTTTTCCCTGGTACTGGGGATTGAACTCAGGGCCTTTATACTGAGGAACATTCTCTACCCACCCCACCCCCTTTTATTTTTGGAGACCAGATCTCATTAAGCTCCTAGATGGTCCAGGCTGGACTCAAACCTGTGATCTGCCTGCCTCAGCCTCCCAGAGCGCTGGCTTATAGGCCTCTGCAACCATACCCAACAACTTTTACGTATAGCCAAATACCTATCTCAAGCCTTAAAAGAAAAAAAAATTGAGAAAGTCTCTGCAGAATATTTAGCTTTGAGAGATTCAACTTCCTGGTATACCCTCCAAAGTAAACTTGGTGCCAGCTCTCTGAGAGGGTTACAGGGTGAGCGGACCAGCTCCGTGGCCTCTTAACTGTAGACCTGCTACAAACAGCTAATGCTGGCATTTTTCTAAGACCATGGCTTTGCAGCCCTTTCTTTCAGGGCTAAGAGTCATTAGTATCAGTCAAGCCCACGCCACTTTAGGATGACAGAAGTACTTTCATCTGTTGATAATCGAGTGTTTGTCTCTTAATCTCTTAATTGTCCCACTAACAGCTAATCTCAGACTCTCAAATCAAACAACAATGGTGAAAGAAAGGGGTAGGGGACAGGACCCCATCCTTCCCCTCCAGGGCCACTCCTTAGCCAAGAAGTCTGCCCTGGTAGGACAGGGCAGGCTGCCATCAGTTTACACTGGGGCCACTGTTCAAGGCTCCACTGAAGCCCCAGGTGAGGCACTGAGAATCTGGGGATGTCTCTCTGGCTGGCATCATTTCAGAGGGACGTGCTCTGCTCACATCAAACATTAAAGTGTACCCCATCCTGTATTGTTTGCATTTAAACATTTGAAACAAATTATCTTTGCTTGTGTAATAACTATTTATGCTGCCCAGCTGTTTGCTATTTCTGTTCTACTTCACATTTTGGATTTAAGAACATGTCTTTCAGGTCTCAGACATTCCAGAGACCTTTTGAAAGTCTTATAGGTATCCAGGTGGCACCAGAGGGAACAGCAGTGGATAAATCAGTCTGGCCTACAAAATTCACTGTGGGGTTTGCTGGGAAACGCTGAGAACATTCTGGTCAGAACTCGTTGGCCAGTGATGAATGTCCAACTAGTGGCAGGCTTTGCACTGGACTTTTGTGCATTGCCTGAAACTCCTTCCTAAAGCACCTCTGCTCCATCCCCAAGTCGTGGAACAGAGAGCCACCCCAAATTTGTGCCTTTGGAGAAATCAGAAGAAAATGTTTCTGCCTATTGCCATACTACCATAGGACCTCCTTATTCTGGGCTTGCCTGTGGCCAGCATGTCCTTCCAGATAGCTTTGAATGAGCTGGAATCCATCCCTCACTCTCTTACCAGGCTTGTATTAGTCAGCTTTCCCATAACTGGGACACAATGTCCAACACCCACAACTTAAAGAAGGAGAGGTCTAATTTGGTTCATGGTTTCAGGGAATTTAGTCCATGGCTGGTTGGCTCCAAAGTAAAAACATCATGGTGGAAGGGAGTGACAGAGCAAAGATGCTTAGTTCATAGCACCCCAGAAGCAAAGCAGGGGAACAGTAGCAGAGAGGAAGGGACCAAGGACTGAAAGAACACCCAGGGTTGTACCTCTGTGACCCACCCAGAGGTGTGCTTTACTACTCCCCTGTACAGCTCCCAAGGCAATCCAGTTGAGACAACCCTCTCACCTTTGTGTGCTCTACTCTTTCTACTTGACAAGCCCAACAACTCCCATCTGCACATACAGACTTCAATACCCAACCCAAAGTCCCTTCCCCTGGGCCTCCTTCCCTGCACCTCTTGGCAGATCTCATCATTCCCTCTTCTACATTCCTGTAACTGTGGGAGACACCCATACTCCAGTCTTGCCATAGTGCATCAAAATTCCTTCTCCCCTGCTCAGTCCCCCTGCGGTACTATGCTCTCATAAAGGGCAGAGACCACATCTCAGGCAACTGCAAGCCTCACATGCCTAGGCTGATGCTTTCTGGACACGTGGAGACTTCAATACACTGCTGTGGTCCCCTTACCCACTGTTGTACTTCCTGTACCTTCAGTTACCTGTTGTCAACTCCAGTCCAAAATATTCAATGGAAAATTCCAGAAAGAAACAACCCAAAAGTTTTAAATAATGCTTATTACAGCCTATTCTCATAATTGCTGTTTTATTGTTAGTTATGTTGTGAACCTCTCACTGTAACTAATTTAGAAATCGAGCCTTGTTATAAGAATGCGTAGTCATGGGGGGAAACCTAGTATTTTTAGGATTCAGTGCTACCCAGAGTTTCAGGCATCAACGGGGCGCTTGGAAGATACCCCCATAGATAAGGGGACAGCACAGTAGATGTTGTAGACCAGAAGCAGAGTTCTAATACAATTACTGCTCAGCTCAAAATCTTCCCGAAGCCTCCCCTGTTGCACCTGGCTGCCTCAGATTCCCCAGCCTGGCACAGCCTCCTGCTCTCTCCAATTCTGCATTCCTGTCTCCATCTCCCTGTCCTGGGCTCACCTACGCTTCTTTGTACTGGGATCACAGTGGACCTCTGAGCACTACCTTGCCTCTGGGCTTCTGGCCACCCCCTCCTGCTACCCACAATGCCCTCTTCTCTCCACCTGTCAAAATCCTATTCATCCACCCTGACCAAACTCAAATGCTATTTTCTTCATGAAACATCTCACAGCAGGCATAGCCACCTGCTGAAGCGCCCCAAGGCACTTTGTCCTCCCCAAGTCTTCCCAAAATGCTGTTCTGGGTCCTCCCATGCACCTGCAGCTAGAGCATTTCAAGGGCAGGGTTTGGTGGACTTTACATAGTGCAGCTCACAAGCAGGTTCTCAGTGGATACTGGACTGAGTGGAGCAGAAAATCGGCTCTCCCTGCACATGGAAGAGGCAGCAAACTCGTCCCCAAGGACACATTTTGCCTCCGGAAGGAAAGGACTCGCCCTCCTTCCTCCCTACCAGCATGGTGGGCTTTCCCTGCTAGCCAGGTGCAAGCGGCTGTGACTGGAGAGCTCTCCTTGGCTCCACCCCCTCTTTTCTCCCCAACACAGAGCAGTTTTCCAGCTCCTGCAAGATAGGAGTCATCTCAACAGCACCGCGGACACCCGACACCAGGTGCTCGGCACACCTGCACGGCCGGCCCAGACTGGTGCCTCCCTCCGCGGCATGGGCTCCTGGCTCCTCACCTCTGCCACGCAGGCCGCCCTGCTCCTCACCCTGGTCCTCGCCTCCTGCCACCCGGCAGGCTGCGCAGGTAGATCCTGAGCTTTATTCTTGGCCATGTGGGAAGGGGAGGGTAGCAGGGGGAGGACGAGGAATCCTCGCGCAGGGTTGGTCCTGCACAGAGAGAAGAGGAAACCGAGCCTTCTTCTGGGAAGGCTTAGGCAGGGAGTCGGGTGGGAACAGCGGTGGGGGTGTCAGGTTTGCCCAGACTGGGATCAAATGCTCCACTCAACTCGGACGAGACTGGGGGGGCGGGGGGGAGAGGAGAAAGAGAGAGAGAGAGAGTTCAGATTACAGATTACAAATTGGTGTCAAGTGATAGATTTGATCCGGGGCTTCCCCACGCTCCTGCAACAATCCTCTCCTGACTCTGGCTCGTTGTCCCTGCTGCCCCTGGGCTGCCTCTGCTAAGCCAAAAAGTCTAAATACTGCCATCACTGCCGGCACCTTTCCAGCCTCCTCAGGACCTCACCCCACCTTCTGGCCCTCCCCGCTGGCCCTGCACCTCCCAGCAGGGCACCTCCTCAGCTTCTGGCTTTGATCTTCTCACCTCCCGCCTGGGGCCCAAACACACCCTCCCCTCCCAAGGCCCCCTCAGAGTCTGCCTGACTCTCATCCCAGACCCTGTCCCACAGCTGCTGCCAAGGAACTCAGTGTGCAGATGTGGACCTCGAAACCACCAACCCCCAAGTCCACCCCGGCTCTCATAACTACCTGCTATGTAACCCTGAGCAAATTACTTCACCTCTCTGTGCCCAGTTTCCTCATTTGCAACCCAAGGAGAAACAGTGGTGACTTCTAGGCTTGTTTGCAAAGAGGAAATGAGATGACTGATTGGAAAGAACAATAAAACAGTATGTAGTAAACACACTATGAATGTTAGCAATTATTTTAGCAAGTTGGTTTATTTCCTAGCCTCACCTCCTCCCAAACAAGGGACTTTAATTTTTTTCTGCTTACCCTTACAACACCTCGCTTGTAAAAATGGCTCAATAAATTTTTTGCCAAAAGTAACCACACTGACCTGTGGGATCTTCCCCAGGGGCTGAGTCCCCAGCTGGCTCTGCTTATCAGGGAGGAAGGTGATGTCTGGAATTTTCACCTGGCTGTTCCACTTGAACCATATAAAACTGCTCATATGGAATGATTTTTGACCTATAAAAATGGTAATTTCATATGGGTTAACCTAATACTAGCATTGATTAACTAGGTGTTTTCCATTCACTTGCTCTGGATGGGGAAACATTGCCACTCTAGCTGTAGAGGGGAGATGAAAGTCAGGCCACAGAAGTTATTTGGTGTAGGAGGAAAATTTAGATGTTGATATCAACTTCTCCAAAACAAAGACCAAACCCTAAGCCCTTTAATTGTAAATAATTTACAGTAACAACCAGATTGCATCAAGGCAATTACCATACCTCAAGCCGGACAGCAGAGCGGCTTGGAAATTGGGTGGCATAAAATTAGTCTGGGCAGCAGTTTCCTGGCTTTGGCTAAATGATAGCTTTCTTCCCAATTTGTCCTCCACTGTGACCACAAGCACTCCAGGAAGCACATCCTGATGCCAGCCCATGGGGCACTGAGAATTCTCTCTCTTCTTCATGGTCACAGTAGTTGTACTCCTCTTCCTCTTCCTCTTCTTCCTCCTTCTTTATTCCCAAGGAACCAAAATGAGCAGCAGTATAATTTCCAGAAATGTTCTTAAAAATCAGTCTCTTGGTTTTGATCTATGTGGACCAGCATTAGTGCTAAGAGAACTTTTCTTTGATGGCAGGAATGTTCCACATCTGTGCTATGTTTCCAACATGGCAGCCATTGGCCACATGCAGCCATGAACACTTGAAATGCAGCTAATGTGACTAAGAAACTGAATTTTAATTTAAGAGGATGTAAAAAGAATTAAGATATGTTATGTACATGTACCAACTCCTCACAATAAATGTAATCATTATATGTCACAAATAGGTATTAATAAGAAATTTTAAAATAAGTTAATTTTAATAAATTTAAATAGGCACAAATGGCTAGGGATTGATATCAGACACTGTGGGTCATCCACCTCATTGTCAGTGATGGGAGGGAACATGGCTTTTCTTCCTCTGGTACTTAGGGTCATCTCCATCACCCAACCTCTCTCCCCAAACTGACGGACTTTTTGGATTCTTGCTAAGGTTCCTTTTTATCACCCTCCTCGCTTATGAATCAAGGGACAATTCTCAGTGCTGCATATTCTGGCTATCTCTGGACTTGCTCATAAGCATTCAATTTTTGTTGATAACTATTCTTCTGGGTAACAACATTATAACCATCAGAAACAAAGAATCAAGGTCATGTTTTATGAATATTTGTTCAAGCTTTTTGAAAGGAATTGAAGATAGTAAGAGAAGACATTCCAGATATTTCAACGATTGTTTCAATTTATACTAGAAAGACCCTGTTTTTTGTTGTTTTGTTTTTTTGCAACAGGATCTCATTATGTAGTTTTACACTGGTCTTGAATTCACTATGTAGCTCAGGCTGGCCTCAAACTTGCAACAATCTTCCACTTCAGCCTCTTGAGAGCTGAGATTACAGGTGTGTGCTACCACGCCCAGCTAGAAAAGTCATTTCTAGCTATATCTATCTGCACAGGCAGCATCTAAAATACAGTGTTTGGAAAGCTCTACAAAGCAAGCCTTTGGTCACCGAAGAGCAATGAAAAATAAAGATAAAGCGTGTCCAAATGAGAATATAGCAGTAAGTAAAGAGGAGCATATTCACTGGTTCAGGGGCCAAAACAGACACCGTAGACTAGGGGCCTTAACAATGGAAAGCTATTTGCTCAAAGCTTTGGAATCTAGAAGTCCAAGATTAAGGTGTCAACAGGTTTGATTTCTCCTGTGGCTTCCTCTTTGGGCTCTGCTGACCTCAGTGTCCTCGCTGGGCCTGTTCTCTGTGCCCATAACACCACCACCACCCCTGTCTCATGTCTGCTTCTTCAGAGGACATTGGTCCTGCATAAGGGACACCCCAATATGACCTTTTAACCTCACCCACCTCTTCATAGGCCATCTCTGTACCTACAGGGCGTTACAACTTCAGCATAGGAATTTGGAGGGGACACATTTAGTTTCTAATAGTAAGTAAGCTTTCTTTGTTGAATAAGAGTCCATTATACCTATATTAGAACTTCTATAACACTTATATAATGCTCACTACCAATTTATAAACAAGATTTCAAACCCTATGCCTGGAAAGGACTCTTCCTTCGGCCTGAGACTGTCTCCTGTCTTTTCTTTCAGAAGCCAGCAGCAGCAGAAACTCAACCTTGACGACCCACCATGTAGACCCAGGGACCCTGGAGCACTGCCCCAGTAAGTTTCCCTGCCCTCTGCTCTGCCCCAGGGCTGGTGTAGGAGCTGGCAGGGGACATGAGAGCCCTTGCTGTCAGGTGACCAGTGTCAGATGGCTGAGTGCCGCCTGCCTTGGCCTCCTGAGCCCCGGATAGCTCATCCCAGCACTGTTTGATGAGGTCAAAAAGCTCTTTTGGCTTTGATCCCAGCCTAGGCTCATGAGCGCTGGCACTGGTGACTATAATGACTGTCCTCTTGTCAGCATCCTAGGTTCAAATACTTGCAGAAATTTAGAAGTAGGACGTCGGCAACAATCACTAGCCCAACTGCCCAAGGCAAGAGCTTGGTTTTGGTATCCTTTGCACGTTTCTGTTCATCCTTTAGTTAATTATCTTCAGGGAGGGAGCTCAGTAATTCACAAAGCAACCACTGTCACACACGTCTAATCGATAGAAAGTTCTGCTTAAAGTGGGGCCTCCTTAACCTGCCCCCACAGAATGACCAAATATGTTTACTTCTGGACGCCAGAAAAGAAGTGTAATAGGCAATAGTATGTGTTAGTTAAGGATAGGCCACTGGACTCCCACAGACCTGGGTGTGAGCTCTACTTCTGCCATCTTGCAACCTTGGGCAAGTTACATTCTCAGTTGCTTCTCATAAAACAAGAATAATAATTGTACCAATCAGAGCTTGGCAGTGTAGCTCAGTGGTAAATCCAGGCATGCTCAAGGACCTGGTTTCAATCCCAAGCACCAAACAAATAATAATTAGACGTATCATCTTGTGAGAAATATGTCCAGTGAGATAAGCCAAGCACTTAGCAGTGTGTGGTCCGCAGCAGGTGTTTTCCAATGTCAGCTCTCACGTTGTTCATTGTTCATTGTTCATTGTTCTTGTTCCTGCTGCTTCCTGAAGCAGAGCTGGTGAGCTGGTGTGACGAATCCTTTTCTTGTTGTCCCTTCCCCACTAGACGTCGACTTCTGCCCACAAGCAGCCCGGTGTTGCCGTGCAGGTGTGGACGAATACGGCTGGATTGCAGCCGCTGTTGGTTGGAGCCTCTGGTTTCTCACCCTCATCTTGCTCTGTGTGGACAAGATGATGAAGCTGACCCCAGAGGAGCCCAAGGACCTGCGAGCATGAGACTTAAGAGTCGCAGCCCCAAGGATGGCCATCACCACCCCTGTGCAGATAGTGGACAGAGGAGGAGTGCATCTGTTGTTTAAGTCATTTTCCCCCTAAAGCTTCAGCTCACTCCTTCACTCCTTCATTTTTTTACTGCTGGAGATCAAACCCAGGGCCTTGCACATGCTAAGCGTGTGCTCTGCCACTCAGCTACAACCCCTGGACTGAGGCCCAGCTGGGATTCCCTGTGGGCACAAAGGAGGGAACAGAAAGCTGAACAGCAAGTTTCAGAGAAGAAGCTAACAACAGCTGAGATCTAGTTTAGAGAAAGACTTATTTGGGTATACTTTGCAAATAATGAGAAACAGATGAATTCTCCATCAACCTAATTGCTTGCTCCCTTGCCTAAGTTGAATAAAAGCAAGATGAGCCAGACATCTAGGCCTCTTTGTCCACTAGAGGCAAAAGCCCCCTGTCCCCTCTTTCAAAATTATCTGTGTCTTGTCTTTAATCTCCATTCACACCCTCCAGTCAGGCATTCCTAGAAGGCTGGTTTCTTGTAGGAACAGGCCAGGTATGGTGGCACACTTTTATAACCCCAGAACTTTGGGAGGCTGAGGCAGGAGGACTGCAAGGGCTGGGGGATTTAGCTCAGTGGTATTGCCACCTGCCTTGCAAGCACAAGGTCCCAAGTTCGATCCCCAGTGCAAAAACAAAAACAGAAAACAGCCTAGGCAATTTAGGTCTTTTCTCAAAATAAGGACTTTAGAGTGTGTACGCAGGGGGTGCTGAAGATGTAGCTTAGTTTGAAGTCCCTGGCTTCAATCCCCAGTCCCACAAAAAAATGTGGGATGGAAGAAGAAAAGGGATTCCAAATGAGGCACTGCCTTCACACCTGACTCCAAAGGGCTTCTGCCCACCCCACCCCCCATGACCTCCATTGTCTAGAGATTGCCCAGGGGACAGCTCCTCTTTTTCCCTAGGGCTTTCTTCTAGGTGCCCAGGGAGATGCTGAGAAACCTAAGACTTAGTGTTTGGTCAATATATTTTTAAAATAAGTCATTGGCTCCTGTCTTTGACCTTAGTCAAGGACGTAACTATCATCTCAAGACATGAGGTGCCCCTGAAACACCTCTTCCACCTTCTCCTGCTCTCCATCCTTTTTCTTCCTGTCCCCCACGGCTGGCTGGCCGCACCCTTTCTCCCCACTGGCACCCTTGTTCTGGCCTTTACAACATATCCCTGGACTCTTTCAGGAATATTTCATTCTGTTTTCCCTGCCTGTGGCATCTTCCTATTCAGTCCACCTCCTTCATGGGCAGCAAGCAGAACAGGTGCTGCCACTGGCCCACTGCCTATGCCAGGAGCTCCTGATGACTATGACTTCCCAGCCTGGCACCCAGTTCTCTGAGTGCAACCATCCTTCCTGCACACCTGGAAGGCATTGCCTGGCCATTGCTCATCCTCATGCCTGCAGCTTCTTTGCTACCATATCTTTTGTGGGGATGGCCACCTTCCAACTGCACCTCAAGAGTGAAGACCACTCCCCAGTGTCCATCTCCAAGGCTTGGTCAGCCTGGAGCCTTCCATGGTCAGCCTCTGGTCACCTGGAGCTGGTGCTCATGGACACTTCTGGCCTGCTACGGTGCAGCTGTGTAGATGGGCCTCTTCACCATCAGTCTACACCTCCTGCACTCCTGGGACAGAGTAAGCTCTTCATGTTTGCTCAATGGATGGATGGATGAATGGATGGATGGATGCATGGACAGATAGGTGGACAGATGCATGAATGAGCTCTTGTCCTGGACAATTTATGATCTTAGCCTGCATTCAGAAGCTTCATTTTCCTCAGATAGATGGAACAGCCAACCTTTAAAGAATCCGGTGGTTTGGTCACTGCTCTCTCAGGGAGTGGCAGTCTCATCACTTAGCAGGGAGAGCAGCCCTTGCACATCACTGAGAACTCTCCCAGTGCGGTTGAGAGGGAAGGGATCATGGTTTTATCAGGAGGGGACAAAATGATTCCTCATCAAACAATCTCAGACTTCTGAGAGAAAACATTTAGATAGAGAAATATTAGATCACGAAACAGAAAAGAAAAATTAGAGACCTCTGATATAGGAAGAAACATTTTCTAGGAAGTAGCCAGTAACTTAAAGGTGCTCCATTGTCTTTCAGAAACTCTAAGTAAACTTCCCTGACAACAGGATCTGAAGGGATTGCCTGACTCATCATTCACTCTGCAAAAAAACCTGATGACTTCTGAAGCTCAGATGTTCAATCAGTGTAATAGTGGATTTATTGGTCCTGAGTGTTGAATGATCTGTGTGTAAAAGATGTGCATACTGCCCAGTGAACTCTTGGGGACACAGAAGTGCATGGTCTACTTTTTCAGAAATTCAAAGAAAGTTTCCACAATGTATAGTGGTTTATTTTCCCAGAGATGAAAAGATTCATCAGGAGCAATGTGAACAAAAAATATATTACTTTACCTTGCTGGGCATCAGTTTTCTAAGTGGAAAATGTAGGAGACGGGCCACATCAGCAGTTTCAGGGTCGGTTGGAAAAGCTCCCAGAGAAATGTCAACCACAGCATGCGGGGCATAGTCGACTGAAGCCCTTGCCCTTCCAACAGAGCAGCCTGGCTCCAATGGATCAGACCTCTTGCTGCTTTAGCAGGTGGGGCCGGAGCCCTACGAGGTCCCCTTCAGCCTAGAGCAACATGCTGACTCTGAGCAGTGTCGTCGGTGCAATTCCTGCCATGTCACATCAAAAGGCAAGCAGTTATGGGGTACAGTGTGACACTCGAGCACATTACACACTGTGTGCTCACCAAATCAGGGTAATTCACACTTCTATCCCCTTATCAATACTTCGTGTTTCGAGCCGTTGAGCTCCTCTCTTCTAGTTCTCTACAAAATTGTTATAGGTTGTCATGAACTACAAGCCCCTCACCATGCTGTGAGATGCAAAAACTTATTCCTTCCGTGGTGTTCAAGTGCCTGTTATCCAACTTCCCTCCTCTCTCGACCCTTCCCAGTCTGTAGTAATCAATAGTATACATTTCAGTCAACTTTTTTTGAACCATCCCCATACCTCACCTTTTTTTTTAAGTTTAAGGAAATGGAAGTGCTAACTGGCCCTATTTGACCATTATACATTGTATACAAGTATTGAATTATCATGGATATATACAATTAAAATAATGATTAAGAAGGGCTAAAGATGTAGCTCAGTGGTAGAGAACTTGCCTAACATGTACAAAGCCCTGAGTTCGACCCTCAGTAGTGCCCAAAAAAACCCACCAAAAAAAGTTGTATTATCTTTGATCAGGAGGCTGAGGCAGGAGGATTATCGGAGCTTTGGAGTTTGAGGGCAGCCTGAGCAGCAGAGCAAGACCTCATTTAAATAATAATAAAGAATAGTTTACTTTTTAAAGGTAGGCATCCTGTGAGCTGCTTCTCTTTCCTCTGTACAAGAGGAAGGGTAGCCCAGATACAAACAACTGCTCCCTGCTTTAAGACTGTGAAGGAGGGTGGCTTAACATATGACAGGATCTGAAAGCATCTAGGTATAAAGCACCAGGGCACACCTCACAGTGGATGGAATTTTCATTTTAAATTTTTACCTGAAGTCATCAATGCTCTCCTCTGCACAGCTATATATTCTCACACACACACAGAAAATCCACACACTACAGGGCATTTCCACACAAAAATGTCACATATAGAAAAATTATTTGACTTAAAGGTGTGGCACAATTACCAGGCATTGATTGGTTGATTATAGTGCTGGGGATTGAACCCAGGACCTTGCACATGCTAGACAAGTGATCCACAAATGAGCTGTATTCCTAGCCCCTACTTGACTTTTAAAAATCATCATTTTTAAACTATTCCTTTTTATATGCATAAAGCCCAAGGACAAATAAGACATATGTATATTTTTCTGTTAAAATAGAATATTATATGCCAGGCAAGATTAATCATAAGCAAGTCTTAGGATAGCTTGGGCCTCATCTTAGTTGAGATTGCCATAGCTATGTCTTCTAGATTGAGAGGCTTATAAACATCAGAGGCTTATAAACATCAGAAACTTATTTCTTACACTTGCGAAGACTGGAAGTCTAAGATCACAGTGCCAGCATGGCCAGGTTCCAGTTAGGGTCCTCTTCCCGGACAGCTTCTCACCTTGTCCTCTCATGGAGGGAAGGACAAAGGAATTGCCCAGGCTCTTTAAGAAGGGCACTAATTCCACTCATGGTGGCTCCACCCTCATGACCTTATGACCTCCTGGAGAACCCGCCACCAAATACCATCACAGGTGTTAGGATTTAACGTGAAGTGTGTGTGTGTGTGTGTGTGTGTGTGCGCGCGCGCGCGGGGGGGGGGGCAAACATTTAGTTTATAGAAGGCCTCGTTCTACAAAAATATGTGAAAGTATAATTTTAAATTTAGAAAAATAATAATCTAGATGTTTTTGAAGAAACTGCTCTGACTCTTGGCATCTGTTTTGAAGTCAGACATATCCATATGGTATGAACCCAACGGTCTTTGTCAACCTGTGGTAGGAGGATGTCAGAGATCTCCTTCACTCAGGGTTCACTTCCGCCCTCCCTAGCTCCAGCCCAACCCCTTAGAGGGGTTCTTCTAATACACAGGTCAGTGATCAAGTTGCTCTGGGCCTAAAATCCTTCTGTGGCTCCTCAAGCTAAGAGTAAAATCCATATTGAGAGCTTGCTGGCAAGTTCTAGCAGGTGAGCACAGCTAGTCCTATACCGTTGATCAAGGAAACGGTCCTCCTCTATCGGGGGTGGTCGTTGCCTTCCACGGAGCACGCAGCTTCGGGAGGGACGCACATGGACCAGTGAGGCAGGGAGGGGACACCCGCCCAGCCAGCCAGATCAGCCAATCAACCCTGGCAATCAACGGAGTGACAGATGTTGCTGCCAGATGGTCCTCACATCAGAAATCCATACACTGAATGACTGACAGCTCTGTAATCAGACCCCGGACACTTCTCTTGCTTTTCTTCCGGCACATTCTCCACACAAACCCAGTTCTTAATGATCTCAGTTCCTGATCAAGCCAGACCCTTTCCATCCTGCCTGCCTGCTTCTGTTCCTACTATTGCTATGGCTAAAACATTCCCCTCCTGCAAAGCAGATCTGTTGTGAACAAGAGTAGCTCAAATGTCGGGTCCCCTCCCTGGTCCCATTTGAGATCCTCTAGTGGGTAATATATTCCTGATTCTGTATTTTTTTTTTTAAAGAGGGCCCTCTAATTATTTGCATTTTAGGCCCATCAACCTGCATTGCTTCTCCTCCTCCCCAGCCCACCACTCCTGACTGGCACTGGTTTACAGGGATTGGTCTTCCAAATCAAGCTGTCTATTCCTTCCTGCATGGGTAGATGTAGACACACACACACACTTTCCCCAGTGGCTGGTGCTTACCTCTACATCAGAACTGTGACAAAGATTCCCTCCTTAA